TAAATATATATGAATATATTTTTTTAAGTTTCCTACACCTTGAGGTTGCATGGTCTGTAAGGTTGGCATGTCTTTATATTGTATACAGATTTTGCACGCCAAACTTGGCAGCTTTGAAAATGAAAAAAAAAAAATTGTGGTTTTGGGGGTTTTTTTGGGTTGGTTTTGTTTTTTGGTTTTTTATTTTCCTCTCGTGGCATTTGCGGAGACTAAAGGTTGGGACGTTGTTGTCACACACACGCGCGCGCAGCCACGCACGCACCCACACAGCTACACACAAAGGAAGGAGAGTGGGAACATTTTTTGCATCTTACTGAACTTAATAAGAAATTGTGCTTTTTATTGTTAAAAAGAGTAAATAAAAAGGACTACTTAAACATTTCTCATTTTAAGAAGAAAAAAAAAAAAGACGTTTATCTAGCACTTGTGACTTACCAATAATAGAGTTTATTGTATTTATGTGGAAACAGTGTTTTTAGGGAAACTACGCAGAACACACAAAGTAAACTGCCTGTGTCATTATTACTATTTTTTTTTCTTCCTTTTAATTTGGGTTGGTATTTTGTTTTGATTTCTCGGCTGGGTGGGGAGGTTGGATGCAATCCTTTGTCAACACACGTGGTCGTTAATTCTAAGGAGATGAATGACGAGGACTTTAAAGAGTTAACTCTTCAGCACAGCTGCGTTAACTTTTTTAAAATTACTTTTACATGATGTATTATTGCTAGGTTTCACTTTAAACAGTCGTGTACTGTGCAACACTGTGGTTTAAAACGAGACTTTACATCAAAAGGAAAACATGTTTCTTCATTGTCATGAAGTTGAGCTCGTTCTCAGCTCATCTTCACTTTGTCTTTGATATTGATGAAAAAGTATCCTATTGAAAGAAAATAAATTAACACTTTTCTGTGCTCCATAGTGGAGGCGCTATTTTCCAATTTATGAGGATGACAAACTTATATATATAATATATATATAAAAGTGGGGGGGAGGGGTTGAAACATTATTCACCCAAGAGCTTATTACAGATATGTAGTATCAAAAAGTTGTAACTATATTATATTCTACTTTATACCTATACATGCTCAGTATGACATCACCATTGGTAGCAGCTACCGGTTTACGCTGTAATTTAGACACAATTTCACTCTTATTGTATGGACCCTACTTTAAGTGATGGTAGCATTCTTCGTGCTTAAATTTTCTGATGGTCCTTTCTTTTACTTGGTGAAGTTGGAATATTTTTCTCATTCTTGTTTTGGGGGTTTTTTCTTTTGTGTTGTTTTTTTTTCTCTTTTATCTTTTTTTTTTTTTTTTTACTGGCCAATGGTGTCTTTCTCTGACAGTACCAACTTGCAATTTCAACTTTATTAGGAGTCCAGTATTTTGTACCACATTATGACAACTTGTTATTCTTGTGGTGTAAATAAAAAGAAAAAGTTAATTATAGTACCACCTTGGTTTCTGTTGCTGATCTTTTCATCTGGTGCCTGCGGTGTGATGTGATACTTCATCTGCTTCAAACAAAACTGTTTCTTGGGTGTCATGGAAGGGTGTCTCGGCGCCGAAGAGGTTTTTTGGGCAAAAGATACCCATGCGTATGTCGGGATGTCCGTGGTAGAAAAATTGCTGGAGCTTCTGCCTGGTTCCCTTGCTGCTCCGAGATGCGTGTTGACAAGTGCCTGCGTGGAGGGATTGTAGAATAATAAAAAAAAAATCACTGAAATTTAATTTCCAGCAAGATGTCCACGAGAGCGGGTGAGTTTCTCCCAAAAGCCGCCAGCGAGTGAAAAACAGAGAAATCAACAGAGGGAAAAACTTGACGTTTTGTGTCGGGCTCTGTGCTGCCTCATGGGGTTGTTAAGCGCTTTACGTCGCTGTAGCCAGAGTGCTTTGAAGATCTGAGGGGAAGCTGGAGATGGACCTGCCTGCTCTCCAGCTGGTTCTGCAGGGAGCAAGACGTGAGTCTCAGAGATCCTGGTTGCCATTTGACATGGTGCCTGTGGCCGCGGGGCTGTGGCACGTCCCCGCTCCGGCAGACGTCCTTCACCTCTAGGGCAAGTCCTGTTTCTGTGCCCGATGATCCGGTTCTGCTCTGCCCGGTTGTCCGGCCAGGGGGGAGGCTCTCCCACAAGCCCACAGATCACATCTGTGCCCCATCTGAGCAGACCCTCCACGCTTGCCCACCTTGTCCGTGACTTGGGAGAGGTTCTCGGTGTTGCCCTCGAGTTGAGATGGGTGAAGCAGATCCACCCTTTTCCTTCCGTGGTCTCATTCAGCCGTGGTTTCCCTCTATGTCCCCTCTGCATCACTCTGCTTGTCCCTGGAGCCCACTGAACCATCCGAGGTCAAGCTTCTCCATCTATGTCACCTGGAAGTGTCCCCTGGTTACAAGGCAACCAGCTGTGCTTCAGTTCTGATATCCTTTCGCTGTCCCCCTCCTGGATGGAGAAGTCAAGTCCTTGGGGCTCACACTGAAGCTAAGGCGCGGGTACCTCTGCCCCGTGGGTTGACCCACCTCATGGGCACTGCTGCAGAACTCCCTGGCATGGAAGGGAACAAGCCTGGTGCCATCTGCCCTGGAGAGCAGCCTTCAGCTCAGCGTCCCAGCCTGTGTGTAGTTTATGAAGCAGGGAAGAGCAGTCAAGGAGAGCCCAGGGACCCGCTCGTGGCTGCAGCGTCCCTTACGCCGTTGGCAAAACCTAAGCAATTAGCCAAGGAGAAAATCGCCTTCCCTTCCGTGAGCCCGGATGCTCGCTTCTTGCTCACCAGGAGACCAGAGCAGTGATCCTGTGCAACGCCCCGCTCGCATGTGTGAGCCCACATCCCTGTCCCTCCCCGGGGTGGGGCTGGCTTCGGGATCCCCAGCAACGTGGGGGTGGGGGGGGCGGGCCCCTGCCGCTCCTTTGAGCGGAGGCGCGGGCGGCTCTTCTGGGCAGATGGTTGGGAAGGGTCTTCCGGGAGCGGGGGGAGTTCATCTGCTGGTGTGAAATCCCACCTCCGGCCACCCAGCCCAGCTCTTGCAGCCTGGAGGCACAGGGCTTGTTTCGGGGGCCGTGGGGGACGGGGGGGTTCAGATACCCTTTCCGTTCCCATGCAAATGCATCTGCGCTCCGGAGCTGCCTTAATCCCACCTGAAACGCTGTGGGCTCGCTGCTCGCTGCAAGCACGGGACCGTAAACCTGACGCAATGCAGCGGGGAAGGGTTAAACTCCAC